ATTTACGTTTTCGGCTTTCGCACCAATGGTTGCTAAACTTATCGTCGAACTTCGAACTGAAAGTGATCACAGAGTTTCAAGATTGTTTTTTCGACAATATTGATATACCTAACCATGAAGACTGAAGATTGATTGGTTAAGATCCAACTACAGACCCAGGTTCTCAAGAAACGGTCCTCCGGAAGATCCGAATAGTCCAGCGATTTTTTTTTTAAATCACTTGTTGTGATGCTAAATGAATGAATTTGAATCTGGGACCAGCATGCGCACACTGGTGGTCACGAAACGGTCCTCTGGGAGATCCGGAACATCCATAAAAGTGGTCAATTCTTAAAAAAGATTGAAATATCGATCTTCGTATGCTCATCTTATAAAAGTTACGCACCAAAAGGCATAAAGGCATTTTCGGATGCCTACTTGGATTACTAGATTACATATTTTAGCTTGTGAATGTATCAATAAATATTGAAACCTTTAAGAAGTTCTAATTGATAGAAATGTGGGGAAGTTAAAAGATCTTTAGGAGTAAGTTTTGACAGCTCCAAAATTTACTTCAGCGAAGATCAAGAGCTTCAGGCTAGACTTCAGAGCAGTTCCATTAAATTCATGAAAATTTAAGCTTAAAGACCTATGAGTAAAGGCCCAAACGCAATATGGACGGAAGCGGAACGGAAACGGAAAGTTTGACAGTTGTCACAAATGAGATCAAGAAGCCTAACCGATGTCGATTTGGTTCTAACTAGTTTTCAATCAGACAAGTAGGCTTACTCAGATCGGGCTTTTCCGCTGCCGTTGCCGTTCCGCTTCCGCTGTCATTGCGCTTGGGCCTTAACGTGAACTTCGGGTAAGTTCTGGAAATGTTAGGGTAGTTCCATCAATATCAGGAAAATTGTGTGAACTTGAGGGACGTTCCTAAAACTTTAGGTTCGTTTCGAGAACTCTATAACAGTTCCATTTATTTCAGTAAAATAGAAGAAACTATCAAGAAGTTCGGAAAATTTAAGGAAAGTAAAAAAAACCTTCAGGGAATGAACTTAAAAACATTAAGAAAGCTACACAGAGAAGATCCATGTTTAAAGGGAAATTTAAAGATCTTCTGGGCAGTTCCATTAATTTCTGAACAATTCCAGGAACATCATCAGGAAAACATAAGGGAAGTTCCGTAAACTTCAGAAAACAATACAGATCTTCAGGAGAGTTTGAGGAATGAAAAGAAGTACTGAGAATTTCAGGAAGTTTCATAGGCAAACCAACAATCAATACGAAACTAACGATTTTAAATTGGCTCACTACTTGACTAGCCTATTGGTCCCAAGCAAACGATTAACGTACCTCATTCTAGTCGAAATTCTATTACTACGCAATGTTTGTTTTGATTCGCTATGAAATTTTGACAGATAAGATAAAGGGTTATTGGTTTTTCGTATGTTTCGAGAGGTGAATCGATTAGCTTGGGACCGAAGAGAGTACCAGAGCTGAGCCAAAAAGTTGAGCTCGTTTCTTCGGGACCTTCTAGCCCTCTATGGACAAACTGCGGGAACAAAAGGGAAGTTCCAAAAACTTCTGGAAATTTTGGTGAACGTCAGGCAAACTTCAGGATTTTCAAATTAGTTCAGGAAACTGCAGGAGCTTTTAAGAAAATTTGAGAAATTCAGAGATATCAAGAGGATTTTAGAGAAGTCAAAATAATTTCAGAGATGTGGAGATAACTTGAGGAAAATTTACATTTTAAAAAACCTCCAAGTACCTCAAAGAAGATAGACAAGAGAGCTTTAGGAAATTTCAGAGCACTTCCAATAACTTCACAACTTTGTGAAATTCAAGAAATTCCAGAATTTCAGGGCAGTTCGATGATTTGTATGGGCAAGGTGCGATAAATTCCGATAAATTCCATAAACTTGAGAAAAATTCGAGATTTTGTTTTGACAGTTCTATTTAGTTCAGGGTAATACCAAGAACTTCAATAGAATTGAAAGTACTCAGGAATGCTTCGAGAGCAGAAGGATTGATCAGAGAAACTAAGAACAGTTCAACTAATTTCATGGAAATTGAAGAATGTTTAAGAAGTTCCAAGAAACTAAGGGAATTTCAGAAACTTCATCAAAGTACCAAGACCTTAAATTTCAGAAACATAAGAGCATCAGGAAAATGTGAGATCATTTTAAGGAAGTTCCATGGTACTCAATGCAGTTTAAAGAACTGCAAAAAAAAATGCAGAAACTTCAGCGACGATCAGATTATTTTCAAGAAAATCGCGAGATATTTTAAAATGTTCAGAAATCTTCAAGAACGTCTAGAGACCTTCAGAAAAGTATATAGATTTTTTGGTGATTTCATTATATTTTAGGAAGGTCCCAGAACTTCGTGGATGAGAGGTCTTCAGAAAATTTTATAAATATGATTAAAATTTCACAATAGAAAAATTAATGAACTTCAGTAAAGATTCAAAAACTCAGGGAAGTCAAAATATAACTAGGATTTTTACGCGAATTGACTACTTTTGTGGATGTTCAAAATCTTCCAGAGAACCACACTGCTACCTGATTGCATATGCTAGTTCTAGATCCTAATTCATACATGTAGCTTCAGAATAAGTGAATCGTGAAGTTCCCAGATCCAAATTCATTAATGTAGCATCAAAATAAGTGATTTATAAAAAAAAACTACAAGGGACAGCCTTATGGGGTTGTACGCAATGGTGACGTAGGACTACGTGGTCTTATATAATTAATCTTATTTGTTAACTGCAGCAGGAACTTGTGTTTTGTGTAAGAAAAAGAATTTGAGCGTGTTTCTCTCTCTTTATACTCTTTAGTATGACGCGCTTGACATAGACGACCTACAGCGACTCACGAAGAGCTACTGATTCCGATCAATAGCGGTGCGGCTACTTCTTCCTTCTATGGATGCTCATGTGAGCTGCAGCTCGCTGCTTGCAGGCAGCCTTTCGTTGTGTACTGGAGAACACCACTACTCACCACGCGATGATTGAATAAACACCGTTTGGTGAGACCTGTTGGAATTCAACTTTGAAATCTGTGTTGGGGAAATCGCTGTTCGCTGGCAATTGGTAATAATTTTAATTATCATAGCAACAGTTTCACATTCTTGCAATTTTCAATAGTGACATTTTGAAAAATGATAAAGTCTTAAATTTGACAGATGCGTAGAAATATTTCTGATCGATTGGTGATAAAATTATTGAAATTGGTCCAGGGGCAGCTGAGTTATTAACGTTCAAAATCTTTCATAATTTTGTTACATGTGCCATTTTCGGTTTTCTTAAAGTGTACCCCCATATAGAAATAACAGACGTAGTCCTACGTCAAAATACGGAACTCTAGGATCTTTTCTACGGATTGGCCCCCTTTACGGATGTTCCGGATCTTTTGAAAAACTGTTCCATGGCCACCAGAGTGCACATACTGGTTTCAAATCTAAATCCATTCATGCAGTATAACAACAAGTTGATTTAAAAAATCTAGATACTTTTTTACTAATTTTCCACATTTGCAGATGTTCCGGGTCTTCCAGAGGAATGCTTTGCTGTCCCTTGGGTCCACAGTTTTTGTCCCAAATCCAAATTTATTCATATATCACAATGTTCAAATGAAAAACAAAACAAACATTTCATAGATAGCAACAGGGTGCCTTCCATTCATTTTGACTAAAACAATGTTTTATGAAATTATGGAATAATAAGATATTATGATGATATTTTGTATATGTAAGTAGTAAGAAAAGATTGTAAAGTTTGTGTTTCACCCATCAAACCTGCAAATTTAGCTTTGACAGAGTCACAATGAGCGTTTTTCTGATCGCCTCTTCGCGAAGAGTGAAGAGCGAAGAGTGGGTGAGATAAATTACAAAATCGCTTATTGCGTCTCTCATGTAGCAAAATTGGCAGGTATTATGTGTCAAATACAAACTTAACAATCTTTTCTTGTTGTTTACACAATCAAAATATTTCCATAATATCTTATTATTCCATAATTTCTTAAAACATTTTTTTAGTCAAAATGAATGGAAGGCACCCTGGATAGCAACGCTTGGGCCGGTTGCTATCGCATTGCTGTATTTGTCAACCCGCTGTTCACCGAGAGGCAGCTTGTTATTTCCAGCACTTGAATAGCAACCCCCAGTGCAGTTACTGTGTTATGGTGGGGGTTGCTAAAATAGCTTTAGCAACGCATTGGTGCGGGTGCTCTTACCGACTCCAAAATTGAATCGACAAGTATATAAACAAAGCTGCCAGAGGGCAGAGCTTACCGCAACAAACGTTGGATACTGATTATAAGCTTATTGAGCCAAAAATAGGCTTATTCAGCTAAAAATAAGCTTATTCAGCTGTTAATCACCTAAAATGTTTGTTGGGACACATGCCTTTTTTAAATGGGTCTGATTTGGGAGCTGATCCTGGGCTGTTGGGGTGGACTGCTGCCGTTATCTTCGTTCGATCTCGCTGGGCCACGGTTGTTCTCATATATGATGCTGGTTGATAAGGATGAAGTCACAACTCATGTGTTCGATGTTTACCTTGCAGAACAAGCAATTCACATCGCATTGAAATGCAAAACACTTCAAATCCATCTGCTTTGAGCAGAAGTGTAATTCAATGTGCAATACACTTGAATTGATAGGGAAAGATTATCAACATTTCAAAGTTTGAAACACTAGAAATCAAACTGTAGAACACATTGAACCATGGTTAAAATGAATGTGATTGTGCATTTGAAAAATCAAGTCTTTAAACATTTGAATTTTTTGAGCTTAGACTTTGTTTTCAAAATAGAGTTTCTACGAGATGCACAATTTCGAACCATCAGGTAAATCGGACCAGCCCTGTACTGTAGAAGAAAAAAAACACTGATGCACTAGAACTGATGGGGTGCACTTACAGGAAGCGTAGCGGAAAGGAGGGTAGGTGGGGAATAATGGTGGTTAATGAAGCATGTAAAACTGCAACCTTCAACCTTCGGTTGAACGCTTAACTGGCTTACCTGTGGGGCTTGGCGTGAGCGACATCATGTCAAAGTGTATGTTGGTGGTTTGAAATTCATGGTCCTTCAGGAAGGTCAGCTTCGGTCCACGCCCCTTCGTCAAACCAACCACAGCGGTATTGATCGAGCGCAGATAGTCCCGTCGACCGAAGTTGGTGTGTGGAACCAGCAGGCCGACGTTCAGCTGGTTCCGTCTGGCACTGGGACGGGTTGCACCCTTTCCGGAAGCAGCACTGCTGCTCCCGCTATCACTACTACTGCTGCTTGTGCTACTGCTACCACCTATGCTGATCCCGCTGCCTCGGTTCGTCGTCGCTTTGTAGCTTTTCATCTCGATGCCAGAAATTAGGCAACCAAGCAACAGCACCGTCGTCACGACGGAAGCAACCAATAAATTCATTTTCCCTGCTAATTTGATTCCGATTTTCATCGATACACAACACAACAGCACCTATTTTTGCATCCGACACCAGCATCCAGCATCCGCCCGTCAGGAGACAGGCAAAAAACGGAAATATCAGAAATGGGCGTATTTCCTTTTTCACTTATAAATTCATCTTGGCTGCACTCCCTCTCCCTCGTCGAAGGCTGTGCCACTGCTGCTATTTCGGATGACGACTTCTCTACACTGCGATTACGTTTTTCACAACCATTTTGCAGAAACCACACACAATCGGTAAAACACACTTCCCTCCCGATGGCTTCAGGCGTAAACGGAACTACAAAAATGCCTCTGTTCGAGATTTTCTGCACGATTTCGCGGAGAAAAGGAAAATCTTCTTTTGTGTACTTGAGAAAAGAAAGTTGAAAGGCGAAAATTTCTCCTTCTCGTTTGCCCTTCTCGAGTTTCCTTGTGCCTTTGGTTGCGCACTCGTCTCGTGTCTCTCGGCTCCTCCGCCACAATGATTATATCGCACACACTCTGCACTCTTCCTCGGGATGCCTTGGGAAAAGACACAGTGCAAACGCCTCAAAGTATACACTGCTGCATACACACACGCACTCCTATCTCGTATCTATAGATGTGTACATTTGCCGTTGTCGAACGGCCTCTCCCTTATCAGTTGGGTTGTCAAAAATGTCTTTCCTCTAGGACGAATCAAGTCGAAGAACGAGGACGACCAGCGCCTCTCGTCTTTGCAGCAAGCTTTTGCCTTTATGTGACGTTCTCCAACAGCATCAGCGTTCAGAGCAGAACCCAATGAAAAAAGATAAATTATGTAACGCTAAGCAGCGCTGACAGCGCCATCCAGCGAGCGGGAGAGCATACTGACTGGTCTCCCCGAGCGCCACAGCATCCGAACGAACGGCTCAAGCTCGCACATACACCTATGCAAGGGCGCGCAAAACAAGCACCCAAATGACAGCAACAATCCACACTCCACCGAACCAAACCCATCTAATGCTCTCGCACTTTTATACGAGAACAGCATTGGTACTACTTAGGTACCACTCGGCATCTCCAAAATCCCAACGTGAAACACATCATGTGCAGCCAGCCAGAGCACATCATTCACACTCACACGACGAACTGATGAGAATACTCCCGACTCAACGGAGAGGATGAGCGACGATGTCAACAAACAAGTGATCCAAACACAACCACCACACTGCCAGCCACGTGATAGAGGGATCGTAAAAGGATGGCGCGCGTCAACTCGTTTGCATCGCATTCTCGCCAGACCAGCGCCGCGCACGTGGCATAACTCAAGACCAACACACAGCAGATTCTGCTCTCTACCTCTCCCACTCGCGCTCACTCTCTCGGATTGTTTGCATTTTCGTTCGTAAACAAACTCGCATTATCTGCCCGTATGAATTTGCATTCCAAGAGCGAGAGCGAGAGAACCAAAACAATGGGAAATTTTTCCCGAAGCTCACTCTCCCACCAACCACCCACCGACCTAAGAGCCCACCGACGAGCCAGCCTCCTTTGGGTGGATCGTTGATCACTCGCATGTGGATGCTGAAGTTCTCTGGAAAATGCCAACACGGCCGATGAGAGTAACTCAGTGACTGGGTAAATGGCCAATCGTATTTCTAGCAGAAAAACAGGCAATTGCCACAGTTTGTTTGCGTCGCATTTAAGGTACCGTAAAACGGGGTAACATTGATAGTTTTTTAAATTAAATTCCAATTCATTTTTATAGCAATGAGTGTTTTTCAAATTTTATATTTTTAAAACAAGTACTGAGGATCCAAGAGTCAATTGGTTAGTAATGTGTTGAACGAAAATTTAAACATTTGCAATATTTTTTTTAATTTTGTGACCGAACTTCAGTTTTTTTGATTTGGGGTTACTTTGATAATGCTCGATGAATGTTGAAAAAAATGAGTGAAACTCAAACAATTTAGTTTTTAAATATGAAACTTTGAATGAGTATATAATCAGAAAACTCCATAAGTAATAAGAATACAACATTGAATTTGTGATGGCTGTATCGGAAATACATTTCATAAGTGATGGTTTGAGTACTTTTTCAAAAAGGCGAAAAACACGAATATGGTTTTTTAATATTTTTGTAAAATATGTAGCACATCTATCTATATAAAAATGAATTTCTGTCTGTCTGTCTGTCTGTCTGTCTGACCCTTATAGACTCGGAAACTACTGAACCGATTGGCGTGAAAATTTGTATACAGGGGTTTTTGGGGCCGTGGAAGGTTCTTATGATGGTTCGAGATCCCTCCCCCTTCTGTAAGAGAGGGGGGGGGCTCCCATACAAATGAAACAGACATTTCTGCATAACTCGAGAACTAATCAAGCAAATGGAACCAAATTAGCATGTGGGGGCGAGTGTGGGGGTATAACGAGATAATCATAGAGGGTAGCCCCTTATGTAATAGGGGGGGGGGGGTACGTACAATATAGCATGCTTTTTTTTTAAATCGGCGCATAAACTCAAGCTAATATTGAATCCCGAGCAAGACCGGGCACACCAAGCTAGTACTATATAAAAACTATATACGACATCAACGGAAATACCCTAAGCTACAATATGGAACGAATGTTTCTTATTTGGAAAGTTTGTCTCTCATCAAGCTAAGACGTATTTTCAAGTAGTAGTAAATCCGGTCTACGGCCATATCACATTTAAGAGGTTTTGGGCCCGAAGAAGTTCAAGATGGAAAGATCCGGAATAACGTGTTATATTTAAACTCAGTGGGAAGATTCACCACCTGAGGGCAGCAGTGGTTTATCAGAAATTATTCTGACTTAGACTCAGTGGGAAAATCACCACCTGATCCAATGAGAATTCTCAGAGGCGAATCTGCACCTCCTGAGATAAGCTCTCCTTTTACCCGCAAATAGTCTGTCATCAATATGACCACTTCAGAATGAGAACGCAGTTAGGAATATTTCCTACAACTAATATTCTCTATTATCAAAAGGTATTTATCAGATATCAGATACATTGTTATGCTTACATTGAGTGTATTACATTTCATGGTCCTGTTCTACTAGCGACTCATAAACGGTCCTGACTACTTCTATTATATACTTCTCTCTTCTTATGTACCGAGTGGCACATCGGCTGCCTCTGCGGTGTCAGTGTGTGTGTAACCTCGCGTTGGAAAAGCAACGTGCCTACCATCCTATATGCCCTCTTACAAATTGGAAATTGTATTTTAACACTTCCCCTCAATTTTCAAATTTAGCAAATTAATTAATCTTTCAAATTTATGACGAGAAAGGGGCTTCGTAAAAATGTCTGCTTTCTGCATTTCACTACAAACATATTTTAGTGCAATCTTCTTCTCGCGAATTAGTTCTCGTATGAACATGTATTTGATGTCAATATGCTTCGTCCTTTGATGACTTCGTGGTTCCTCTGCTATTCTTATGCATGGAATATTATCTTCATTTATGGTGAATGGAACCGATTCGATACCAATCTCACGCAATAAATTAGATATCCATACTCCCTCCTTGGTTGCTCCACAAAGTGACATGAGTTCCGCTTCCGTTGTTGATAGGGCCACTGTTGTTTGCTTTTTCGTTGACCAAGAGACCGTGTTACCATACACAGTGAACAGGAATCCTGAGATTGATCGTCGTTCATCCTCGTCGTTTGCGTAATCTGCGTCAGCAAACCCTTCGAGTGGAGCTCCATCGTTTCTTCTGTACACCAGGTGCATCTCCTTAGCTCCCTGGAGATATCTGAGAATTCGTTTGAGTCCCGTCCAATGGATGTCCTGTGGCGAACTCTGAAATTTAGCAAACACATTTACTGCATAACATAGATCCGGTCGTGACATCAATGCCAGGTACTGGAGACAACCCAATAGAGCCTTGTAGGGTTCATTGGTCAATTGTCCTTCAGTTTTTGACCACCTGGAATGCTGATCAATTGGGGTAGAAATAGGATTGCAATCTTGCATTCCAAATTGATGTAATATTTTCTCTACATAGGCTTTCTGGGAAATCGTCAAACATTTGTCATAATACTGGATATCTAGGCCAAGGAAGTTTCTCACTTCACCTAAATCCTTCATCTTGAAATGCTTGAAAAATTCAGCCTTGATCCAATTCACGTCCCTCATGTCCCTTCCGAATATCAGGATGTCGTCGACGTATAAAATTACGTACAGATTCTTATCCCGGCTTATGTACAGACAAACATCTGATTCAGTGTTCTTGAAACCCAGACCTTTGATGATGTTGTTGAATCTTAAATTCCAGCTACGCCCGGCCTGTTTAAGACCATACAAACTTTTATGTAATCTGCAAATTTTGGAAATTCCATCTTCATCCGATGGCAACCTCATGTAAATTTCCTCATCCAATATTCCATTGAGGAATGCCGTCTTAACATCCATTTGATGGATGAATAATTTTTCCTGAACGGCAATCGACAAAAGTGTTCTAATTGTCGTCATTTTCGCCACTGGCGCAAAAGTTTCGCCATAGTCCAATCCTGGACGTTGCGAACAACCTTTGGCAACCAGGCGAGCTTTATACCGAGGCGTATTGTTTTCAAGCTTGATCGAGAAGGTCCACATTGAATTGATTGGTTTCCTTCCCTTAGGAGTTTCTTTAACCATGCTCCACGTCTCATTATCGTGCAAAGCTGTTAATTCCTCGTCAATAGCACGCTTCCATTGGTTCCAGTCATCACGTTTCTTCAGAATTTCGACACTTTGCGGAACTTCCCCTGACAAGTGTGATACTACAAAACTGGTTTCATAATCACGGAGCCAGGTTGGGCGTTGACTTGTCCTCTGACTATGGCGTTGACCGTTCGGTACAACTTCACCAATTCCTGGACCATCATCATTCCCATCGCCCTCCGCTTCTACGAACTCCTCTTCGTCAGTATCATCACGATCATCTGGGACTTCCATGTCATTTATCGGTGCAAGCACCCTTGAAGGAACTGGAACATCAGCCACACAAAAATCCTTTGTGCTATCCAAATAGCCACTCGGTTGAACTGTATGGAATTTGAAGGCAGACTCGTCAAAAATTACATCTCTTGAGACGACAATCTTCTTCTCATCATCATCCCACAACCGATAGCCCGATGGTGCATATCCTACCATAGTCAGCGATTTGCTTTTTCCATCCAATTTGGAACGAAGATGTTTATTAATGTGAGCATAAGCAGCACATCCAAACACTCTTATGTAACCCAAATCTGGCTTAGTTCCGAACCACATTTCACACGGAGTCTTGAGATCGCTCAAAGCACTTGTTACACTACGATTTGTGAGAAAAGTTGAGGTATACAATGCTTCACCCCACAGGTACATACATAGGAACGTTTCCTTCGTGCATCATTGTCCTCACTTTCTCCATCAAAGTTCTGTTCATCCTCTCACTCACCCCATTTTGCTGGGGAGTATAGGGAACAGTTGGCAACATTTGGATA